GGTGATGGATTTAGAGGTTCATTGGGGAGATGGAGAGACTGTGCCCGCGCGGGGTGGTGGCACCATGGTGGCCATGACCTCAACTCCTCTTCCCCCCACCCTTACACCCCTCAGAAAGGTTTGCACAAGGCCAAACCGCCCTCATCCCGGTGTGGGAGAGGAAATTGCAGCAGGTCGTGTTGTTAGCTGCCGGCATGGCTTCCTGCTCCTCTGCAGGGGGTGCCAAAGCCCTACGGCCACTCACCCGCACGGGCTGCCTCCCCTGACTTTCGGGAGACTCCACCTTCATCGAGTCCAGCACACCCCCCCAGATCTTTCGTGGTTACTTTCATCTGGGAAGAGCGACTGGTGACGCTCTGCTCCTAGAAGTTTTTGGGTTTGTGGGCTCAGAGAGCCCATCCACGTGGCCTCTGGGCTGCCCTGAGCTGGAGGAGAGGCCACTGGCTTTTCTTAGAGGTTGAGACAAGCACGCAAGATGTGGTCCTCCAGCCCAAAGAGACCCCTGACCCCAGCCGTGTCACTTGGCCGAATCCCTCACCACACCACCCATGGGTGCCACACACTCCTGGGTTGCAGCGGCTCGGAGGTCTGGGCAGAGCCACTTTTCCTTCCTCCTTGCGTTTCCTCCAGACCTGTCTGCAACCCCGGCCAGCGGCGTGGGGCCGGCACCCGTTTTCCCTCGCGCGCCCCGGTGGCAGTCCTGAAGCCTGGAGGAAAAGTCCAAGCTTGCCTGGAAATGGGGTGGCCAGTGTCCCCACCTGGGCTGGGAAGGGAAACTGAGGCAGGGAGGGCTGAGCTCCTGCCAGGTGCATGGGGCAGAGGGGACCAGAGGGGGACACTCAAGTCCAGGAGACACCCCATTAGCTCGTACCATGGGGGTGGCCCCATTTTGGGGGGGCCTTTAGGGATTTACCAGCCCCGGAGCACAGCCCAGCCATGGCATCAGGCTTGGGGAGAGTGGTGTGGGGACACATAAGGCTCCCCAATTTTTGGGGGTGCTCCAGGCTTGCAGATCAGTTCCTCCCCTGCCCTCCCTGCTGCTGCATAACCCTCCTACCCCCCTGGCACCCCACTGAGCCTCCTGGCACCCTACTGAGCCCCCTGGCACCCCACTGAGCACCCCCGCACCCCCTTGAGCCCCCTGGCACCCCACTGTGCCCCATTGCACCCACTGTCCCCCACCTCCAGGCAGTCCCAGCACCCACTTCCACCACCTCCACCACCAGCAGCCCAGTGCTGTGAACTGCCCTCTCCCCAGGGACCCCCCAAACCTCCCCTGGGACCCCCAGGGCTGCACCCATCCCAGCCCTCACCCTGGGCGCCCACCAGAAGCCTCGGCCACCCCGTGAATGCTCACAGGAACACCACTGTGACACTGAGGACAAGGTCGCCAGTGGGGGGGGGTCCTGGGAGCCCATCTTACCTTCTGGGGTGCCAACGGGGTGCCAGGGGGTGCCAGGGGGTGCCGCAGGGTGCTGGGACCCGCTGTTCTGCCCAGCGCCTGGGCACATCTGCAGCACCAGGGTGCCGCACTCACCCTGTTGCGCAACGCTTCCCCTTGTCACCCAACGGCAGCACCCCAGGGCGCGAGGGGGAAGAGAAACCTGGGTGGCAGGGGGGGCACTGTGTGGCACAGCACGGCACAGTGTGGCTGTATGGGCACGGCGTGGCACGGCACAGCCTGCACCGGCACCTCCATCGCGGCCTCACATGGTGCACAGACATCCCCATCCCCTACAGATATATGGGGGGTCACCCCCTAGATGTATGCAGCCCCCCTATACACACACACGGACACACAGAATCCCAGAATCCCAGAGTGGCAGGGGTTGGAAGGGACCTCAGAAGCTCACCCAGTGCCACCCCCCCTGCCCAAGCAGGCTCACCCAGAGCAGGGGGCACAGGACAGCGT